TATATATAATAATAATAAATATCGAGTATCAGCTTCTATATGACACTGGCCTTGTCTCGACGAGACCTGAAACATGCGACCAGAGCGAATCGAAAAAGTGCCAATAATCTCTGTCGACAATTCATTATATCAAAAGTCTAGAAAAGAAGGCTGCTAATATAGGGTTATGTACATTCATTTAAAGTGGGCCTGTTCAATTGAAAATAATCGAAATAATAAATAAATAAATAAGAAACCGAAAAAATGGGTCTTTAACAGATACGCGACCATTTCATTGCTAAAATACTATGTTTGGAAAGATGCTGCCAGCATTTGTAACGTGTATTTTTACTATGTATGTCAGGCGGAAATATGCTGACTTCGATTGGCAAGATGATAGAACCCAACAAGTAAGTAAAGTGGTAATCACCGAGACAAAATTCTTTACGGTCTTATTATTTACCTTAAGGTACCTGACTGAACGATACCGCCTGAAGGACAAGAAGATCCTGGCTTGAGGATTAGAGCTCGTAAAAGTTAATCATCATATTAATGAGCGGAGGAGTCTTTCTTAAAAAACGAACAAGCTTTTCACCTTGAAAATAGGGACGAAGGAACGTATAGTTAGACTGGTTTCTGGATCTTTATTGGCACATTGTGTTCCTTCGTCGTAAAGCTACAATAGAACTGATGGCTCAGGCAGTGCTGAAACAACGCGCGCGTTATCAGCGATCCTGTATTTTCTATTAGTCCATCAGAATGTTATTGCTTTGAGTTCATTCAAGTGTAATTCTAAAAAAGAAACGAGTTTCAACTAGATTGGCCTTGTTTTTTTATCGTGGTTAGTGTCGTTTACAGGTTCCGATTAAATTTCACATAACAGCCGGCCGCGGCGCGGATTTTCAATGCTTTTTCTTGGCCGCGAGAGGTCAATGACGGGATGATGAGCCCTGCGATGAAACGCAGTTGATCACACATACGCAGACACTGTGCATAAACCTGTAGATGTGCGCGCCTCTACTCTGGTTAATTTCAAGAACTCTCTCGTTTGCGTTCGTCGTATGGTAGGCGTCTGTCACGTGTTTCACGGTTTTCCTATTGTCACTACTGTTTTCTTATAGTATCGTTTATGCTTGACACTTACTTACCTTGGCTACGGTTCAGGTAGTGCCACAAACTAAATAGAAAGCTATAGAGTTCTATAGAAAGTGCGCAAAACCAGGTCGACGCAAAACCGCCGAAGAGCCTATCGGATGATAAGACTAAGTGTCGAATGTTCTCGCTCGAACGGGCCGATAGCCGTTGAGTTCTACAAGAGTGCGCAAACCGTCAGGCCTCGCATGAAGTAACACATGCTACACGCAGTTTGCAATCAATTAAGGGAAATACTATTCGTGGATTTTGACGTACTATTTTTTTTGTTGTACTTATGCAAGTGTTGCAACGAGAAGTCTCTCGCACCCATATTTGTACGCTATATTAATACACAGATTGCATTTACTACCCAGCGCGTGCAACCGTGGGTGTCGTTGCTGCTGATGGACGCTGCCTGCCAGACGCGTTGTCGCCAATACACCAGTGATAGGTCGCCGGAGAGATGATAACCTAGAGAGAACCTGAGCTCGTGGACCGACCTGAACTGCTTCGAGGACGTCGAGAATGTGTCAGCTGCCTCTTCTTTGGCTTTGAGCATTTTCCTCGACGATTGGTATTGTATTATAAATATACCCGATTATCTATCATGCATATTGTGATGCTGACAAACAAACTGCGCTCGTCCAGCGTTGTTTACTATGCACGAAGCGCTAACGTTGTTCTCTCTTCCTTTCAATACAGGATCACTTTGTATTTGTCATATGTAGATCTGCGCAGATGTACCGAGTGGCAGCGCCCTCGTGCGATCGTCCTATTACTTGCAGTGGCCTGTCTAATCGAACGATTAGCAGCTTGTTGGTGGCCATACCGTTATCAATGTTGTTCGTAAGAAGGCTGCGTATTTGAAACCGAAATCGATATACTGCCGCTGCCAGTGAAAGCTACGTCGTGGAGAGGCGGTCTTCAAAGAAGGACGAACGCAGCGAGGCAGAGTACTCGTACCGGTGTGACGTTACATTGCAAAGCTATGCTAACAAAATGCAGGCTAAGAGTGCACAGTTGATTCAGAGGGCGGGTAGGCATTCGTAAGGACGGCCGACTGCTCTTTCTACGCGGAGAAACGGATATATATATGTAAACATATAGACATATATGACGGAAGCTAGATGCGAAAGATCATGTGCACTATTGCGAAACGTTGTCCGTGCCCACGGTGAGATAATGAATAAACGAAAATGTGAAAGTAGAAGAAAGAAGAAGAGCAAAAGGAGTTTTCCGGGAATGAAAGGACACGCAACCGGCGCTGCTACTGCTGCTTTCGAGGAAAACCAGCCAAATTTGGACAGGGGCTGTTTCAGAATAACCGATTCTCTTATATGCCGGGCCTTTTTTCTGCTCTGCGGCAAAGAAAACCGCATTTATATAACTCTTGGCGCGCTACTATAGGAGCTCATCTCACACTGCCAACGCTTCGTTATTGAATATCGACTTTGACAAACGTACTAAAAGGCACCATTTGTAAGGCAGCGCTTTATTTATTACATATTGGCTTTATATACGCGCTATATACTGTTTGAAGTGCGCAGAGACAGTTATGTTTTTAGTGCTGTACCGTTTCGTTCAAATACAGAATATCCCAAGATGTAAACACTGTTTAGCGGCCTGTAGGTTTCTGATTGTTCTATTTTTTGTGGGAAGAAAAGTAAACCAATATTGTCTTACAAAGAACAGCTGTTATTTCAAGATGTATTTCGAAGTGTATTGCAACAAGTCGACTTACAAAAGAAGTATCTTTTGAACGAATGGAATTATTTGGGAAGGTCAACGGTTTCAGAAGCTAAGAAACAGTGCCGCAAAATTACCCGGAAATCGATCAAGTTTTAAGCTTGACATCAGTAAATCAAGTGTCAGAAAGTGGAAGAACCATAGTCATGCGGCTCTATCAGCGAAGATGATTTCGAATAAAAAAAAAAGAAACAATTTTCCAAATGGGCAATGGAAAGGGATGCGCCGTTGTCGAGGAAGACTCTTCGGAGTGATGATGCTACATCGGAACTAAACGGTATAATTAATTGGGCCTTCTGAGCAATCGAATAAGATGATCCGGACTGAAAAGAGATACTCTGCGTACGGAACTTAAACGCATTTGAATAACGCATTTGAACTTAAACGCAATTTTTGAAGCTATGAAATTGAATTGCGCTACAATCGGATGTGGTTGCACGTCCAAGAAATTATTACATGTAGACATTAGAAAAACACCGTGTGGACTTGCCATGAGCCATACCGTAGCACGGCATCTCATGCAAAAGATTAATTTGCCCCTTTTTTTTGTCGATTGTTTGTCATTATTGCGAACATATATTTCATTACGCATTCGGTAAGGTCTTGACGAAAATAGCAGATTCTATTGCCCATAGCACAGAACACCTGCACCTTATCATCGTGACATGATCAAAGTGTTCCAAACAGGCGGGTTGGATGAACTCTCACCGTAGGCCTGTCTTTGTTAAAGACTAAAGTCTACGTCAGAAGACGTCTTTTTATATATATATATATATATATATATATATATATATATATATATTAGTATAGACAAAGTAAAGTCTTTTGTCGTTTGGATTATAACTGATTTAGCCCGGTTATTATAAAAGTGTGAAGTGCGAGAGTCTATTAAATAGTCTCGAATAGCAACTTTAACTTTCTAATAGGATCTGACTAATTTGCCTATTATCGATTACCAAGCCCTCGACGTTTTTTTTAAAAAAAAAGAAAAATGGTAATTCGCGGTCGCAATGTATGACGAGTACGATCAACTGCAAAAAGCCTCCATCTGTAACATCTGCATTTATGTGACCGTAATTCTTATAGCGTGAAGTCGAGTGTTATCGTGCAATTGAAATGGGTTACCTTCTTCCCATAATCCTACTAACCGACGGCTAACGGTGTTTCTAGTAGTTGAGCTTTCGCCGCACACAAGATTTATATGGCAATCTGTGTCAAGATAAAACTCATATTTTAGAACCGCTTGCTGCAATTCGTCTGCTAAAAGCTCGAATGAAAATAAGTCAACGGCCTCAAACTTCAAACACTGAAAGTGTACCTCGTACTCGAAAAAAGTGTCGCGGACTATAGCACTGTTATAAAATAGCGCTATCTTTAAAGAGGAGAATAATGTTTGTCACGTTTCACGCTGGACGATTTTACGTATTATGTTGTTAGAAAATACTTTTATGGGTAAATTGAAGTGAACATCACAATGTGTAATGCTACTGGACTAGATATGCGCCTTTTTTATCGGTGATAGGCTTCTACCGTTTTACTGATTACCACACATAGATTCATCCTTGCTAAGCGTCTATGGTTGAGAGAACAAGTGATAAATGAACATCATTAATGAGATTTTACAGGAATAAAAAGCGGTAAAAGAAACGACACCTTTTTTGTTTACTTGTTCCGATCGATTTTTCTCAATGGCTTTTCGTAATCGTTTTGCCAGACGGCAGCAACTCGTGTAATACGCGATTCCTCTCTAATCCCACCAAAGGCGCCGGCCTATCAGGCACATTTTTTCCCCTCTTCGCGCAGTGTCGTTACATTTCTATCAGTCGTAGTCAATCGCTTTATAAATGGCTCGAATCCGTTGTGTTTCTGTAAACTTTCGCATATGGAAATTGAATTGCCTCAACTCGTGTAGCACCCAAAGATCGAGCTTATTGTATAGCCAGCTTTGCTTGAGTGGTTGATGTTGAGTTTATTGACGGTATCATGGCTCACATGTCGGTCTTGCCCAAGTTCGGCAATAACTTTTTTTAATTGGCCGACCACTACGAGAAGCATCTGCTACAGTGAAATCTTGAGAACGAACACGACGGAACAATCTTTGGGCCGTTTTTTCGTACGTAACATCTTGACGGCAAAGAACACAATTTGTCTATGGGCTTAGGCAGCATTTGTGCCAATGCAATTTTTTTTTTATAGATCTTTAGAAGCTCGGCTAGAGGTATTTCAGCAATTTTAAAACACCTGTTACTTTCGAAATCTCGGCTTTCAAATGCTTATTAGTTGACATATCCGATTTGAAAGATCTATTGACTATTAAATATTTCAACAATCTAATATATGTAAAAAAAAATCGAAAAAGACCGATTGACTTGTCCTTAACAGCTCACTGAGCATGGGTCCTGATCGCAAAAAACTACTAGGATATTCGCATTAATCTAATTGAAAATAATCGGAATAATAATGTTTTGATCTTAGAAAAGCGTGAACCTAAATTTGAAATTCTCTAATTTTATTATTATATTATTATTTTTTTATTATTTAGTCATTACATTGTTAACATCAACATGGGACCATTACCAAATAGTAGAATATGTTGTCAACATCCTTAAAAAGCATTTGTTGCGTTGTGGAAATATGTCGGCTATCGCAGCGTCTTCTATTGGCAAAATGGTACAAAATACAAGTAAACAATTTGTAGTACCAATCAGGTAATGTCTGAGAGTATTTTTATTACAATTAAATTGCATACATATTTGGTAAGCGCAAATGCTAGTGTACGCATGTATTGTCACTAAGAACAAAACCTGAAGTGACTCCCTACGACAAATTAGACATCATGTAACACTCCATATAACCATGAAAATTATCATACATATATATTACGTACATGCATATATATAGGGTACATATATCTAAATAATGTAGCGTGGTTGCCAAGCAGTTCGAATAGCGTCTCGCCTAGACTCTCACGTATGGAAGTGATAAGCGAAAACGCCGCTCGAGGCAGCGACTTGTGGAGGGAACTGCGGCCCTGATCGTGCGGATCATGCTTTCGGCCAGGCTGTTGCGCCGTAGATGCGCGATGCAATGGTCGAATCCGTTCAGTATGCTTTTTTCTGAGGTACTTTGTCACCTTCCTTAGTGCGAAACAGGTCACATTGTCTGTCACGATCTTGCTGAAGCCCCCGAGTGGACACCGTAAAGCTTTTACTCCCCGCCCCGCAGCACCAAACGTAGCCTTTAAAGCAGCGCGCGTTAGACGAACCGGGCACGATAATGGACCATCACCGAAATCTGTCTTACCACTAAAGGCTCTTAAATGACCTATAATACCTAGGCTTCCGTTCTCGAGGGAACGTTGCAGCGAGTACACAGGTTAAAAGGAATCACGCTTTCTTATATCGCGATTCCGCCCTTGGCTTGCCTCGACCTGGACCAAAACCGGCCCTAACCCAGATCCGCTGACATTTGTGTGTAACCAAGCTCTTATACCCTGCTAAAAACTACACGAAAGAGGATGTTCTGTCATGCTAAAGCGATGCTTCGCGTTGTCTAAAACGTAATGCGGGTTTGCGCATAACCCGTGTGAGCAGTCTGCGATAAGATGCAAAATTCAGGAACTTCATGAACTATTCGACTTCGCAGGAGCCAGCGAAATTCGCATTACCAGGATCTTCTCGACCGAAACTCACCACCTACTCGCTTATAAACGCACACTTCATAGTCTTCAACCGTAAGTTGGCAGAGTCGATGACCCCCGATGTTCCTTCAGGTACGCCATATGAGTGTCAAAGTTAGGCAAATCGATTTTGGCGCCATTATGGTAAATTAAAGATCTCTGGTACTTTAAGGCTTTAGGTCGATAATATATATTCGGACACATGGATCCCCAACTAAGGCGATTTTTTTGACATCAAACAGTCAAACGGTAATGTTATTAACGCTCGTCGCGCGCATTTCATGCATATATGTATATGTAGAGCGTTCCAAAAAATGTATATACCGTCTGAATGATTATAACTTCAGCTTATCTACGTATAAATCATCTGTAAGTTGCAAAAGAGCCCCCATCGTAGACGCTCAAGTATCTTAAAGTTCTAGTTAATGCACAGATGATAAAGGCGGGCTATTGATTCACAAATTTTAATAAATATTTATTTTTTATTGCAGTGCATTCTTGCTCACCTGCGGCTCCCTAAACTTTCAGTGTCGTCAGTTTTTCCCATGCTTTATATATTCAAGGTGTCCCGACAAGCAAAAATCCATGCCTGGGAAACAGGCAGAGTATACTATAGAACTTCTCCGTTCAGCCTATCTGTTCAAAAGGTTCTCATCATGATGTGCTCTCACATCGCGATAATAGCGCATAATTACACACAGATTGTTAGAAATAACATTGATCGCTTTTTAAAGAATGCGTGATACAATAAATCCTTGTCAAATAAATGCCACTAGTCATATTGTACTGTCAAAGAAGGGTGGCGCGCTTAACCACCTGGAATATAGCACTACATTATGACTCCCGATAAATTTCCATAGCGCTACGATGTAATATCTGTATTCACGATCGTCTAGTAGGGAGAATAAGGTCGATTAATTATTCCATTTAGTCTGAATGTAGCTCCATTGCTCCGGAGATTTTCTCCAAAAGCTATGAATCGTATTCGAGCTTGGCCAACATACCATTCGCCAAATCGTTTAGTTCGGTGCCGATCATCTTCATTGACAGTACGTGCCATTGTTGGAATACAACTTTTTCTTCTATTTACAACGTCCTACGATGCAGTGGGCACTTGATTTGCCGATGCCAAGCTTATGGCTAGATTTCCTCACAGGTTTTTTAGGGTGTTTCGCCATAACCTTTCAGTACACCTTCTTGGCCGGTCAAGCTTTTTGGTACCCTAGTTCTTTCAAAAGATGTCTATGAGTATGCTAAACAAGCCCATTCGATTTAAAGTTATCTTTTATCCGATTATTTGTAAGCCGCTTAGACGGCTCCACTTAAAACTGCCCCAGATATTTGTGCTCCTGCTACATTTTCATATTTCTGAAAGCGTTTCATAACGTTATTTTTCTATTAAAAGTTTATCTCGGTCCACTGAAAATAAACAATAATCAGGAAGTTATCATTATGTATATACAGGACATGTCGCGGTGGCCGTCACGCCACAGTGAACCAGGTTGTTTATCGCAGAAGTAAGGCCTAAGCAAAAATATAGACGAAGTAGACAGTTTTGCCTCCGCCTCTAAGTCTAATAATAATGCGAAAAAAACGGACATAATCAAATTCGGCCCTGAACACGCTCCAGCTTAATAAAGAAAAAGACAGATAGATACTTAACGGTCGGACATCGGACGTAATTTTAGGATATTTATTTACATTGAAGACTTTTGTGATTTGAGTTAGCCTACTCCGAAACGATAGCAAACAACAATGCTTTTTATTTACTAGTTGCTGTTTGCTTGTTACTAACATGCTAAAGCTTACCCATAAACTGAAAGCTGTTAGCTGAAAACCACAATGAAGATAGCGAGTATGCATGAAGAGCATGCGCCGAAACTGATCGCGTATACAGAGTTTCATTACTTTTGTAGTAATTACCATACGATAGTAACGTCGATGTTTGCTGCTTTTGTAAATTAGAGTCGAAGCTTTTGCCGCTATAAATGTCAAGTTGA